AAATCCTTCAGGGATTGTTAAGTCATATAAGCCATATAATAGACTTTAGATGCATATCAAGTTTTTATGTCATGCTAGACATATAAGATATCGAAAACTGATTGCACATACCATTGACTTTATACTTTCAAGTATTTGAACTACATGTTCAAAACTACATGTCTTTCATATGAAACCAAATCTATTCAAATTGTTTCTTCAGACTTAAGATCCTCATATATATTTAGCGCTATTATAGATGTCGTCGACAAATATTTTGTATCGGTTCCAACCTCCTTATTTTTCATAAAGACATAACATAGAGATCTCTTCATTCATATATTCAGGTACCTGAATCTCTCATGAGATTTTACGAAGTGTTATGTCATGTGATCTTCTAGATCACTTGCCTCCTTTTGTTATGATCATTTAGATCATTTGCTCATCTTCTTTATCAAGAAGTTTATTTGAAACCGATTTGTGTATATGCTTTAAGCGTACCATAGACTTTGTCCTTCTAGGACTTATTCTAATAGGAGCATTTGCAATGAGAATATAGTTACTTTCTTTGGGTCAGCAAATGCGTTTGGCATGCTTTGCAATATATTGCAAATGAGTTATCCTTTTATGAACTTCAAGTTCATATTATTTTATTCGAGGATCTAGATGTACACATGATAATTCATTCCACGTAACTTTTTCTCAACTGTTTGTCATGTCTCCCCCTCATGTTAGAAAAACTAACTTACTTCCTCAACTTTTGAAATCCATATTTGTGCATTATGGTGTTAATCAAAATATACACCACACATCAATAATAATAAGATGGAATTATTTGGTTCCTGACCTTGAACCATTTTGAGGGGAGAAAATAATATACTTTCGTATATAACATATATCAAATTGATATAGATAACTTTGTTCTCATAAGCAATAGTTTAGCTATTAAGTAGAGGCACTTAATAAATCATTTTGCTAAACGAACTGTGATGTAAACCAACTTATCAAGATGAACTTCTTGAATAGAAAATCTGGAAATTATGCTCGAAATTAAATTATTGAGCAAGTTACCACGCACACACCGGCCAGGTTGCGGGTTAATAATAATTGCACATGTAACCATCTCATAGATGCATCTTATGTGGTATACATGGCGGGTAAATGGGCCCATATTCACCTTTGATATTTCCAGCACTCATGGGATTCAATCCCAACCTTAGTTGATATATTAATTAATGAGAACATGCAATGTAAGAGAATTCGTAAAGAACTTTCTAGTTCTTTAATATTTACCCATGTCAATTCTCTTTTATTTTTGCACATCATACTTGAATTAATATGGCTAAACCAATTATGCCAACTGGATAAATTATCAATATTGATAAACTTCAGGTTTACACCATGATGTGTGCAATTATGAATAACCTCCAAGTTTATTATGATATGGGTTTTTATATCAATACTATCCACTTCATTGTGGTATTCTTTTGTTTATGTAGTATAAACTGGAGAATAAAGCGGGTAGCTTTTCACATGCATATTACCCCGCTACAAGTTATAGTAATAGAAGATATTAAATCTTTCCTTTATTTATAGTCTCAGTATGACCAACCGCTTTCGCGAATACTTTAGAAACTCAATAAGTTTCTTTGAGACTTACTACAACACAACGTCTTATTGATAATCAATTTTCTCCAAAATAGTATAATTGGCTCTTCTAGAGCTCTCAATTAATTTTGTAGTACCACATATTCATCAACACCCATATGGTGAATATCTCTTTTAAAGAGAAAGTTATACCATTATGGTTATGGTCAAAATTATATGCAAGATCTGTTTCTTGCATTACCGTTGTCTTTTAACAATCACAATGCCAAAATATTTTGGCGTACAATAGGTACGTGACCAATAACCATTTATGTCATAATAATGACATTATTTTCTTATATCATCTCAAACCTCCTTTTAGAAGTGAGTGCGGTATATTCACTACCACTAGCACGTTCATATTCTTTGAAGAATGAATATGTATTCATAAATCAGATGTTGTCACATTCACATCATGAATGGACCATAATCATCTATATGTGCTTTACAAAATCTCATGTCAAATCGATAACAAATATTTTTCACAGAGTGAAGGATTATTTTGAGAATCCTTATTATTCTCATTATCACAATGATGACGATTATAATTTTGTCTATTGCCACGTCCACATCCATTGATACCTTCACGGTAATAATTTTGTCTTCTTTCAGACTTATCACATATTGCTATCACATTCTCTTAAGGGAGTGAGAATGGAGCAAATTCAATGGGACGGGTTTTCACTTCTTGTGCTCACGATCATACATGACTTTGATCATGGCAAGACATAGAAATTTTACCACTTCAGGTGGTTATAATTTCTTACAAACTCCATTAGAGTTATAATCAAACTTTGTTGTCTTTGCTTGTATTTAAAATCAAAGTATAGAATAAAAGAGAAAAATACGGTAAAATACTTACCTTAAATCCATAATTTAATCATGAAGGAAGTTCATGGAATAATTGACAATCATTATGCTCAATCCTAAAGCTTCTACTCAATTGGTTAGAGTCTCGTGCTGATAACGTGTTATGAAACAATAAAAGAAGAAGAATAGTATTGCAGAGAAAAGTAGGGAGAGAGAATTCTTATTGATTTGGGATGAATTACAATAGAATAGAACCTAGAATCTCTCTAAATATAGACATTCACCATAAACAAAATTCTATTTATAACAGTCCTTTCATTTTTATTTTTCATATCTAGAAAGTAATCTTATCACTATACTATAAGTAAAGGCGGAGCTAAAATTTTAATTTTATGGGCTCTGAATTTTAGAAGGATGGCTTCAAGTGCTAATAACTTGGTTCTAAACTTATATATTTAATGAATTTCTTAACATAAATACGTTGTTTAAACAAAACGCTACTATATTTAATGAAAAGGTGTCATGCATTTAGTAAATTTCATCCTTCATGTTTTATGAAATCTCAAACAGATATATTTCATTATAGTACTCCATCCGTTCCAGTTTATGTGAACCTATTTCCTTTTTGGTCCGTTCCAAAAAGAATGACCACTTTCTAAATTTGGAAATAATTTAGCTTAAACTTACAATTCTACCCTTAATGAGAAACTTTTATAACCACACAAATACTCTGGGCCCCTTTTTGACTTGTTTAGGACCACAAATTCTAAAAGTCTTCAGTTTTTCTTAAACTTCGTGCCCAGTCAAACAAGTTCACATAAATTGGAACGGAGGGAGTACATAACTTTAAAAAATTAATTGACCTAAGAATTAAGATACTCTAAAATACTTGAAAATATATTTTTACATAATATATTAAGTAGCAATATATTAGCAATACTTTATACACCATTCACAAGCTTTGACAGCTCCAATGATTGAATGAAGAGACGCGTTAAGCTATTCACTTTGATATTCTTACACAGAAACAACAGCTATTTTGACACATCAATATGCTGGTCACCAAAATCAATCTGGATTAAGCTCATCAACATCTCAACATCAGCACCAATTAAGCTCAACTAAAGGTGGAGCAAGTGCACGGTTAGCCATTAATTAGAGATGTCTTTACCTTTTAGCCACTGTTTAAAATATATTTACTCTTTAGCCAGTGCTTAATAAATTTTTATTTCGCCCGGACGAAAATACCCTGTGCTAGACATGGGTGCTGTGTTAATATTAAGGATATGGTGTCCTTAACTTCATGTATGCTGTGTAAATATTAAGAACAAAGTGTCCTGTCATGTCCTTAACTTCATATGTGCAGTGTAAATGTTAAGGATATGGCGTCCTTAACTACATGTGTGCAGTATAAATGTTAAGGACATAATATCCTTAACTTGTATTTGCACCTTTTGTTGTTAAACTTTAGGACCTCATGTCCTTAACTTCATGTGTGCAGTGTAAATGTTAAGGACACCATGTCCTTAATATTTACACAGCTCTCATGAAGAAAGGATAAAAACGTCTTTTCGTATTAATTTTAATAGAGTAGTGGCTATTTTTGCTCAATATTAAAAATACTGGATAAAAACTAAATACCATGTTAAAAAGTGGCTATCCCACGCTATTTCTACACTAAATGTGGCAGGTGGGCCGTGTAGGCCCGCGTCTGGCCTGGCTAGACGGATTAAAACCAGAACCCAAATGGCTCGTATGCGGAAGGGGGCTGGGCTGGAGGTATCAGAGAGTGGGGCTGGGCCGGACAGGACGGGCTCGGTAACTTAGGAAATGCTGTGAAAATAGCATGGGCTAGCCAATTTTCGGACTTGTAATTGAAAAATAGTCAGCGTTTGCAAAGTTATTGAAAAATAGCTACTATTTTGCTGAAACACGGAAAGTTCCAGTTAATATGCTGGATTAAAGAGCTCATGCGTATAGTCTTCCAGCATATTGCACTGGAACTTAAGCACACGGAAAGTTTCAGCATAATATGTTGAATTATGGAGCTCCTGCGTATAAACTTCCAGTATATTATGTTGGAACTCTAGCAGGATTATAAAATTCTAGCACATTATGCTGGAATCTCATATGTAAAAAATTTCAACTTCAGCCTATTATGCTGGTATTTTTTCGGATTTTTAAGGGTGTTTTTATTCAGATTTTATCTTTATATATAAAAGTGACTAAATTTTGGTTACTTTTGAAACTGTAACTATTTTTCAATTAACAGTTATAAATCTGACTATTTCTGTTTTTTCTCTCCATCAAAATGAGATGGTCAAATACGTAGTTGCAAATAATATGACTTCAGTAGCGGCAAATGCTATAAACATTCTTCAGGGCCAAACGGTTACTAAGCTAGTCTTGATTATTAGAATATAAAAAGGCAATTTGTAAATTAAAAAAAGCATTACTGTTTCTAATGGACTTTTCTTTGTCTCTTTTACCCCCATAAGATTCCACCTAATTTGTAACGGCTCTTATCCAAGTAAAAAATAGCCGTTAAGCCTCCTCTGCCTTTTTCTCTCCTTAAAATGCTGTTAACTTTTCCTCACTGAAAACTACAACAATCACTTTAGCTTCTGTTTTTCTGCAATCTGAAGCTACCCCACCTCTGTTTTGCTCTTCTTACAACTAACGACCGGTGAGAAAACGGGCGACTTTAGTGCTTAAAGAAACACCTTTCTATTTCATATTGAATTCTCGGAGCTACGGCCCACTTGGTGTCAGATCAGCTCGATAGGTCATTCAATAGTTTTCCGCGGAGTATCCCCTGTTTTAAAATACTCAAACCTATGGCTAAATTAGCTCTCACCCTTTGCTTCCTACTTTTGTCCCACATTTCAGGTTTGTACACAAACTCTTATATCATTTGCTCTATCATTGGCTCAAATTGAGTTAAGAGTACAACAATTTTAACTCTTTTCCCTAGGAAAAAAAAACCATTTAACTTTTGACATTTGATTTAGACATCTTATTCTTTTCATTTCTCATATCTATATACCTTATATTCATTGATGGTGTAATTTATGTTGCACCAACTCTTCAAAATAGTGCCGCACTTGTGTCGGATCCTTCAAAAATGCATTACTTTGGGAGGATCCGACACAGATCTAGCGATATTTTCAGAGAGTCTGAGCAACATAGGATGTAATAAAATTTATTTATCATCAGAGTAATTATTGGTTAGTTGCCTTATTTTAGCATGTGGCAATCCATTCTACCAAATGATGATCTGCTTTTTTCTTACTCTTTCTTTATAGAATGGCTGTTAACATGATACTTACTGTTTCATTCTTGTTTTTACAGTGGGAACTTTGGTGTTAGCAAATGAACAGGTAACTTCAAGAACTCAAAAATATTTTTTAAAAAAAAAAGCAGTTCGGTGTACTAAGTTCCCGCTATGTGCGGGGTCCAGAGAAGGGCCGGACCACAAGAGTCTATTATGCGCAGCCTTATCCTACATTTCTGCAAGAGGCTGTTTTCACGGCTCGATGGGCACATGACAAGAACTTTACCAATTACGCCAAGGCTTCCCCTTCAAGAACTGATCAAAAATACTTAAAATAGGAAATATTACAAGTTAATAATTAAGTGAAATGACTACTAATCTTTTTTGCATTTGGTTTTTGCAGAAAACATGGTGTGTAGCTAAACCTTCATCAGATGAGAAAACACTACAAGAAAACATAAATTATGCATGTTCTCAGGTTGATTGTAGGATCTTGCAAAAGGGTTGTCCTTGTTCTTCCCCAGATAATCTCATGAACCATGCTTCTATTGTTATGAACCTTTATTATCAAGCTAAGGGAAGGAATTATTGGAATTGCCACTTTGGTAATTCTGCCCTCATTGTTTTGACTGACCCAAGTAAGTAACACTTTTAATTCTTAAATTTATTTTTATTTGCATAATATTGGAGTAAGCCAAGGGTCTATCAGAAATAGTTCCTCTACCCGTATAAAGTAGGCGTAAGGTCTGCGCACACTCTACCGTCCCCAGACCCCACTTGTGAAAATTCACCGCATATGATGTTGGTTATAATATTGGACTAAGATGAACTTAAAGGACCGACATGGACTAGAGTTAGGGGCCGAGCTATGTACAACCAATTGTGTTCAATTGAATCCTCTTCGTGTAACTAGGGAAATAATGTCATGCTTGAGGCTCCAGAATAATATAAGAAAATCTATGGTGCTAGCAAGTTAAAGGAAGGTTGCGAGTAGTATAAATAGACATGTGTAGGTCGTAAGCTAAAGTATGGTAGAGCAAAAAGGTTTTAGGTAGACATGAGTAATGATAAGAAATTTTTGTTATGTATAAATTGTTCTCCTTTACATAAAGAAATATTCTAGTATAGTGGTAAAGGTGGTTCAAAAACTACTATAGGTCACTAGTTTAAATTTTAGGTGTGACATTTTAGTATTTTTTGGACGCCCTTACATAAATTTCAGATTTCGTTACTGGGACCAAGATTCATATAGACGACCCCAGTTTTGCTTGAGATTGATGCGTTGTTGTTATCTATTTTCTTGCTATAACACTCACATTATGCAATTTTGACAATATTATTCAAGATTGATTATTGATCAATTATGGAATCTTGACAATGGCAGGTTATGGCAGCTGTATTTATGAATGAAGACATCATTAGGATAAGCAGCTAAATGTGGAGGCCATTCTTTTTATCCCTTTTTCTTTTTTGGTTGACTAGTTATTTAAGAATATTATTAGTAACATATAATATGTCACTCTAGGGAGTTCTCAAAATATAGTCCTTATATAAGTGGTGCCAAAAATCTTGTGTGAAACTTTTATTCCCTTTTGGGATTTGTATTCTGCTTCAGCTGAATTATAATTAAGCAAAAATGCCACTTTACTTCAGAATATTATTGTAAAGGTGCCCAATCAGTTTGGTTACTAGTACTATAACGATGACGATAATAATATCAAGCAAATTGGGGTCGGTTATATGAGTCCAAACTGTTCATGTTGCTCCATTTATCTCGTTTTAGTCCAACTTTTTGAGGATTAATCATAACTTGACTAGTTTCACGATTACTATGTAGCCCTAACTTTGCTGTTATTTTTGTAACCGTCGTGTCGGGGTCAGATTGCGTGCATTTTGACTAAGTCCACGAGGTACCTGTTACCTTATCGTAGTATACTAGGCCTTCATAATTCTTTAAGAGGTTTATCTAAAAGATTCGCAATATAACTAGGAAGACGTTTTAAATACCACACATGGGTTACTAGGCATGCGAGTTTGATATTCCTATAATAAATTGATAGCTTTTGGAAAAGGAAGAAGGCTATTTCAATATTCTTTGATTTCAAAGGAACATTATCAATCATCTAAAAAATGGAATAAAAAAAAAAGAATAGGGAAAATCGGCTATCGGAATCGAACCGATGACCATCTGAGCTAAGCGGGCCCATATAACAGAAATCTTATATGCATAGTAATTGACTAAACTATTGGACTTGGAATCTTAGTTATTAACTATTCAATATTATATTGAATATTCTAGAACATAAGGAATAATATAGCGATATAGAATTTCGATTCCCATTAGTACACGATTGGATAACTCTATTCACCAAAGCTTGGATAAATGAGAAGAATTACCCGGTGTTTTTGTCTCTGTCTCCGCTGGCCCTACCTTGCTCATAGAGTAAAAATAAAGGGATTGTCCAAATAGCCGCCAGATTCAATTAATTACACACAGTTTTACATATATTATATACTCGCCGACTATTTTTAATTTAAGAAATTAGTTGAATGGCTAGTTGGGTTAATTCTTCAAAAATAAATTCATACTTGTCTATCAAGAGAAAGAAAAAAAGAAAATACGTGACTTCTATTGACATAATTAAAGTCAAACTCAGAATTTAAACAGTATGCTACAGTTTAATTGAAGTGTCAATATCCAACTTTAAAACTAATCACCACCTCGTTTGATATAATATTGTTAATTTCCAGGCATATTCATGACTATAGGATTTTCTTCGTGCGACCTATAAATCACGGGTTCAAACCGTGAAAGCAGCTATTAATGTATGCTGTCTACATCACACCCTTTGCGTACGACCCTTCTCCAGTGTGAACATCGGATGCTTTGTGCATCAAGCTGCCTTTTTTTGCCAGGCATATTCAAGACTACAGATACATTAATAGAGGCTCTGGGCACTGATAATAATCCCTGAGTAGCTACAGCTCCTTGTGTAGAACAACCATCACTACATTGAATTTCTAGCTTCTCCAATACAGAAGCATTCTTTATGATATGAGTTACAAATCTGATTTCACGATCTGAACCCGTAAACTCTTTAATCCGCACCAATCTCAGATGATAAGCAAAACAATCTGGAAACTCTTTATTTTCCCAAAACATATCCTCTTGAGGTAGAACGGCTTTAGAACCTCGAGTCTTGTCAACCTGTATCATATAATATGCACAGTACATTCAGAATTTGAAGTTAGTGGGTTCAGAATTAATGTGATGTTAGAGCTCGTTTGGACATAAGAATTTTTTTACTTTTTTTCAAAATCAGTGTTTGGCCATAAAATTTCAAATTTTCACTTGAAGATGAATTTTTGAATTTTTTGAAAATTTGGAAAACTCTAAAAAGTTGTTTTTCAAAATTTTCACTCAGATCACTCACAAAAATTTAAAAATAACCCAAAATTATATTCATGTCCAAACACAACTCTAATTTTCAAATACCATTTTCACTTGAAAATAATTTCTACTCTTTTTTTGAATGTACAATTCTTATGTCCAAACGCCCACTTAGAGCCCGTTTGGCCATGAATTTTTTTACTTTTTTTTGCAAAAATTTTAATTTTTTTTTTTAAAATCAGTGTTTGGTCATAAAATTTTCAATTTGCATTTGAAGATGAATTTTGGAATTTTTTGAAAATTTGAAAAACTCAAAAAAACTGTTTTTCAAAATTTTCACTCAGATCACTCAAAAAATTCAAAAACAACCGAAAATGATATTCATGTCCAAACATAACTCTAATTTTCAAATATCATTTCACCTAAAAAAAAAATCACTTTTTAGAAATTTTACAATTCTTATGTCCAAACGGCCACTTATTAATGGTATACCTCTTTTTTTAGGTTGCATATATACATTATTAAAGTCAAAAGTAATAGGTTAAGTTGAATCAACCATAAATATACTGACCTGATTAGTGATATCAAGAGTTTGAAGATGGCTTCACACCCTGAAGATGAAGCTAAGTACAATGTGGTCACTCATGTTGTTCAAGTCTAATCTGGTGCATAACACACGCACCTCGGTCAAAGGGATTCCCTGCTCATAGCGTTCATAATCTCGACACTGTATTCAATAAAAAAAGGAATATATACACGTCAATCATTGGTCCAAAACCTCTTTTTTTCAAATAATTTGACTTTTGGCCAAACTTCTATATAAGTGCTTATGTGAGAGAATTAAAGTGTTTGGACAAGCTTTATAGGGAAAAAAAGTATTTTTGAGTAGTAGCGGACTATCACTTTTAGCCCGCGCCAAAAACTATTTATATCTGGTAGCTGAAAAAGTGTATAAAACTTGTATAATTTTTGTATATAACATACAGAATTTATATATATATATATATACAAATTTTATACATTTTTGCGGCTATTATTTCACAGCGGCTATACAGTGTCATTTTTCCGCTGAAAATAGTAGCTTTTCCCTAAAAACACATTTGCAACCTTAGCCAGTACAAATTGCAGAAGCACTTTTGCAACCTTAGCCAATACAATTGCAGTTCTAATATAGGCAAAAATACTTTTCAAATTGATTAGCCAAATACAAACTGTTACTAATATTTTTTCGAAAAACACTTTTGACACAAATCACTTATAAAAATAAGCAAATTTTGAAAGTTTGGCGACTACAAGTTTCAACAAATTAATTATAAAAAAAAAAAATACTTACCGGCCTCAATGCAGTGCACCACTCGAGCAGCTCGTTGTTGTTCGTCCGGACGACCCGAAGGTTTGGACAGTCAATATGAGACGCTTTGGAGGAGTAGTTAGAAGGTTGAAACACCAACTCAGTCAGACTTTCAGATACTAAAATAAATTTCATAATTATATAAATATTTTTAATCTCTATTATCTTGAGTTTCTTGTGTTGAATATCAATATTAAGCATGCCACAACCACGAAGGCTCAAATTTTCCAAGGAGGTACTGTCACGACCCCAAATTCCCTGGTCGTGATGGCGCCTATCACAGAACTAGGCCAGTGCCGAGGTACAATTATGAACAATGCCATTTAGGGTTTCACAACCCTTTAAACGAACATTAGTGAGTTTTAGGGTTTTACATTGACGCAACCTTCAAAGGGAGAAGCATCTGTCAACATATACTCTTTTAGCTCCACCACTTGAAGAAAACTACCATGAAAGATGCTTCTTGGTATCTTTAACTCTAATAAAAACGACTCGTAATCGTGATAATCGTCATAATTTTCCAAATTCTTTTCATGATCATATTGAAGTGAAATCCCTTGGAGTTCTTTTTCGTTTTTGAGATGCTCTATCCATCGTTGCATGTTGTTATTTGACGTACTCCAATCTTGTGGGACGTGATGCATGTGAAAAAATTCGATGCTACCAACTTGTGATGATAAAATCTTGTCGATAACGGACGATGGTATTGGTTGTATATGGTATTTTTTGAAAACGATGAATTTGATCGTACTTGATTTTGTTGTATATCGAAAGAAAGACGAGATAAAGACTTCCATAGGAATTTCCAACGTTTTGAAAATATGCTTGTTGCTATGGCTTCTGTTATAGGAAGATATGAGATTATTGAACATAAGAGATGATCAGGAAGATTGCTAATTAAATCAATTTCTGACATTATTTCCAACTTTTGAGAGAAAGAATTGGCAGAAAATACATATACGGCTATATGTTGAGTTTAATGTAAGAAGTATTTATAAAAGAAAATTATTTGACACTTAAATCCAGAATATATTAGGTTTTGGTCTTAGGAAAGGTAGTTTTTTGTTTCCCTCTAGGACTAGGAGACTACTTTCTTGTGTTTAGGAAAACCTAAATTAATTTGGATTCTCTAATTATTCATACTCTATAGTCATACGTGAACTAGGAGTTACTTTCAGTTAAAAAAATGGTAATTCAAGAAAAAATAACATTCCAGCCCATGGAATCTTTATACATAGTGAAGAAGGAAAAGGAAGTAGTCCAATATAGTTACCCATAGATGTATCAATTTTTGCACTGAAGTCAAAGGACTTATTTTTCTAAAAGAAAAATAACTCAGCTATGCCACCTACATATCACAAATTTTTTATTTATGTTGCTCGAACTTTTCGAAAATATCGATAGGTGCATGTTGGATCCTCCAAGAGTAATACATTTTTGGAGGCGTCGACACATGTTCAACAATTGTTTTGGATAGTCCGTGCAACATAGATTTTTGTAAGATGAAAAAAACGCTGGAAAACTCTAAATTTGATCCCTAAAACACTAGCTAGTGACAAAGAATCAGAAGTGAATCAATGATCCTATTGTAGCCCTTCTCCAAACTCCAGCAAATATAGGATGGGATATGCATTAATCAAGTCTCCACCAACCCTAACTAACTGATTCCTTAAGCTTCTATCAAAATTATTAATCTTTATATAGCCATTAAATATGATCTCCATCACCATTAAATGCTGAAAAGCACTACCCTTAAATTTCATATATACAGTTAGTGGTGTATATATGAGGATTTGTGGAAGAAATATTGTATGCACTGAATTTTCCAATCCAATTCATAAGCTGGATCATGAGGTGCATTACAACTACACAATATACAATAGCTATTAATGGTGGTATGTATGGATGCATAGCAGGAAAGAGGGGTCTAAGACAGGGGGGATCCAATATCCCCACTGTTGTTTGTAATATGTATGGAGTATTTTACTCGAATCATGAGAATGGTGGCTGAACAAGATGGATTTGCTTATCATACAAAATGCAAGGGGCTGCAACTAAATCATCTCTGCTTTGAGATGATGTATTACTGTTTTGCAAAGGGGAGCTCCAAGCTATAGTACTGATGTTGAGAGGACTACAAAGCTTCTCAAATGTATCTGGACTTACTACAAATGCTGCAAAATCTAATATCTTCAGTGCAAATATGGATGAACAATGCTTGCAAGACTTATGTGAGTTGACAGGATACAAAAGGGGATCCCTACCTTTCAGATATCTTGGGGTACCCATATCACCAAAGAAACTTGCAGCACTGGGTTGTGAAATCTTAGTGGATAAGATGACAATGAAGATTAAAAGCTGGGGGACAAGAAACTTATCATATGCAGGGAGAGTTATACCGGTAAATGCAGTACTAATGCACATACACTTACTGGGCATCCATCTTTGTGTTGCCTAAGAAAGTGATTAAAAGCATTATAGGAGTATGTAGGAGTTTCTTGTGGGATGGGAAAGTCCACACTAATAAGCCATCTCTGGTAGCATGGGACTTGGTATGCAGGACAAAAAAACAGGGAGGTTTAGGGGTATATGATACTGCTGCCTGGAATGAAGCAGTTATAGCAAAGTATGTCTGGAACATAGCAGCCAAAACAGATAATATGTGGGTCAGATGGGTAAACCATATTTACTTAAAAGGGAGAGACTGGTGGCAGTACAAACCTCCTATAGATTGTAGCTGGTACTGGAGGAAAATTTATACAATAAGAGATAAGTTTGCTGATGGATACACACAGAATCACTGGCTAACTACTAGTGGAGTTTATACGCTAAGTGGTGGCTATAGCTGGAAGAAAGGGGCTATGGAGGACTGGCCTTGGCGAGGGTGGGTATGGAATAAGATGAACATGCCTAAACACAGCCTAATCTGTTGGTTAGTAGCACATAGCAAACTCTTGATGAAAGATAGACTGAAACATATGGGAATTAGCAAAGACAGCTTATGTGAGATATGTGGAGCTGCGGAAGAAACAGTTGCTCATTTGTTCTTTGAATGTCCACTTGCGAGGAGGTGCATGGAAGACACTATGAGATGGTTAACATAGACATCAGGAATATGGAGCTGCGAGGGTTAGGCAGAAGAATGACCAGACAAGTTAAAGGGAAAATATGCAGGGCAATTGTGTTGGCCATACTAGCAGCTGTAGTTTATAACGTATGGAGAGCAAGGAACTTAGCACTCTGGGAACATAAGGTGATACGACCTGGGCAGCTATGCAGTCAGATAAAGCAAGATTGCAAGCATAAAGCACTTGAAGCATTGAGGAGAAGACACACGAGCAGAGAGAAAGATTGGATAGGAAAACTTTATAGAGAAAATGTATAGTTGAGGATTGTATATAAGAGATAGAATGGACAATTAGAGAGAAGTCTAATTGTATTGCTGAGATGTAAGTTTTGATAAGTGATAAATAAAATCTTTTTGTTCGACCAAAAAAAAAGTTAGTGGTGTACAAAGGAAATCGACACACATACCCAAACAGATAATTCGAGTCAAATCGAGGAAAAAATCCTGAAAATGGTTTGGTGTTGTGAAAAAAAATCCGACCATAATTAGTTTGATTTGATTTTAATTAAAAAAAGTCAAACCAAAACCAAACCAACCCGACGTTGCATGTATAAAAGTTTTTAACATATTTAATACATAAAAAAATTTATTGTAGCGTAGTTTATAAATATTTCTAAACTTTTTCATAATTTATCTTTTAATGTATTATTTCAAGCTTGGACTTATAGTTTTTGAATGCTCCAATAAGTTTTATAGTCCATTAATGTTAGTAACTCAAGTAAATCCCAAACCATATTCAAATCAATACTAATGCTAACAAAATACATTCAATTCAATTGTTCTAGGAATGACAATAGTGTTGGATATCTATTTTTTAGTTTTCCATGGTTTAGATAAAATGCATAATTTATTTTTCTTAGTGTTTAGTCAAGTAAATAATAATAATACTTTCCCAGCAAAACCAATAGAGTGTATATATAGAATTGTTTGTTAAATATTGTTTCTTGTTAGATTGTATATAGGGGTGTATATAGGTTAGTTTGGTTCGAATTTTATATTACCAAACCAAATTAATTGTGTTGGGTTATTAAATATAAAGACCAAACCAAACCAATAAAAGTCGAATTTTTTTATCTCGGTTATTAAAGACCAAACCAAACCAATAAAAGTCGGATTTTTTATCTCGGTTTTTCTCGGGTTTCTTCGGTATTTTTTTCCATAAAGTCTTCATATTATCAAATATAGAATTTGTACTCCAAATATTTCTTCAATTCTAGTAAGACAAAATTATATAAGGTATTTTTCAAGAGAACAACATAAAATATGAGATGAGTCATGGTGTAGGCATATAAATTTTATTAAAATTAAATCCGTAAAATAATTTGGATTATATTATAAATTCAAGATATATTGGTTCAAATAAATATTATGGGCTAATATAATTGAATTAATTATATAAGTCCAATATATATGGATTAAATAAATAAGTCTTAATCTATTGGGCTAGCCCATTTAATTGGGCTAAAGTAATGAGTTCACTTCATTAATCCCAAGATGACATCTTCCTAGAGGCCCAGTTTGGTGTCACGTGTCAAATGACGTGGCGCGCCAAGTCAAGCGGAAGAGCCAATAGGACCATGCCACGTGTCAAAATGACAAGGCATGTCCAATCACACTAAAAGGCCAATGAAATCGTGCCACGTGTGCAAGTGACATGTTCTGGCCAATCAAATGCGGCCATGTCACACTTCAATTTGATTGGTCGGAAAGAGTTTGTTCTTATCACAACTCCTCCCTTCCACAACTATAAATAGGGTCTTCATAACTCAGAAAAGGGACCAGAAGATATAACAAGAAGCAAGAAAGAGCTCGTGGATCAAATACTGCAAATTCCTCCACAAGTTTCAAGCTTCAAGCAATCAAGTTCAAGTTCAAGCAATTAAGTTCAAGTTCAAGAAATCAAGTTCAAGAACAAAGAACAAATCAAGTATTCAAGCTCAAGAACGAAGAACAATTCAAGTATTCAAGATCAAGAACAAAGTCAAATCAAATACAAGACGTTCAAGATCAAGGCTACTTGTTCGTGATAAAATTCGTGGCAACAATCAAAGTGTTCGCGACGGATAAATCAAATTCAAATTCAAGATCAAGCTCAAAGGTCCTTGAGTTTATACTGGAAAAGTAAAATCAGAGGATTCATAGAGATTGTAACGCTCGTATTATTTGAAATAAAATACTACGATTGTTGCGATATTTTCGGTCTTGATTTTATTTTCTCGACGCAAATTTATTGTCTACAAATTCTGGCACGCCCAGTGGGACAATCTCTACCTCTCATCTCAACTTTTCAATCACCAAAGTTCAAGAACATTGAAATGGCTTCGAAGAAAATCTACTCCAGATCAACATCCACCAAGGCTGCTAACTCCAGGTTCTATGCTGATGTGGAAAGCATCCTCGATGTTACCTTTGGAAGCTCCGAACCAGTTACGAGGAGCAAAGCAAGCTCTTTAGGACAACAAGCACCCCAAGTGTCGTCCGCATCAACCCTTGTTTTCGGATCTTCATCCTCAAAAGTAGCAAGATCCTCCACAAACACATCTGAAGGAGGAAGCGATGTTGCTGAAAAGATCAAGAAAACTCTTGCTCTGCTTGACCTCTCCGGATCCAAGCACTCTGCTGTGAAGGAAGATTATGATGCTTCAAGTGATGGATCCTCCCCACTTACACCACATAGCGTGAGCCAATCAAGGATAAATCTGTGTGAAAATCCATGCTACTCTCCGTCGTCCACGACAATCATGCAAGCCATGGTGACAAACACTTCATCTATTGAGGAGCAGTTGGCAAACTTGACGGAAGCAATCGCTGGCTTGACCAAATGCATGCAAAATCAAGAGGCTAGAATTGACAAGTTAACAGACAGGGTGGGAATCTTGATGGAAGAAGAATCCACCCATGCACCCGGCAAGCTCCCAGAGGTTCTAGAGAGTGACTCTCCCCCGAGACAAGCAGCATCCACTAAGGCTATCCCTGTCTCATCTGAAGGGATGATTCCAATCGATCAATTGAAGGAGTTCATTGAAGGAACCATTAAGAACAAATACGAAGTTGCTGCCAAATGCTCCCTTACATATGCAAAGCCGTACACTGCAAGGGTCGATATGTTGAAGATGCCCGCTGGCTATCAACCTCCAAAGTTTCAACAGTTTGATGGTAAAGGTAACCCAAAGCAATATGTGGCACACTTTGTTGAGACATGCAACAATGTTGGGACTTATGGAGATTACCTCGTCAAGCAGTTTGTCCGCTCATTAAAAGGAAATGCTTTTGATTGGTACACGGACCTTGAGGCTAGATCTGTTGATAGCTGGGATCAACTAGAGCAAGAATTCCTCAATCGCTTTTATAGCACAAGACGCACTGTGAGTATGATAGAGCTTACAAATACTCGTCAACGAAAGGGGGAACCAGTTATCGACTTTATCAATCATTGGAGGAATGCAAGCCTCAACTGCAAAGACAGGCTTAGTGAAGCTTCAGGCATAGAGATGTGCATCCAAGGCATGCATTGGGGATTGCGCTACATCTTGCAAGGTATCAAGCCTAGCACGTTTGAAGAACTTGCAACTCGTGCCCATGACATGGAATTGAGCATGGCCTCCACTGGAAATGAAAGGCTGCCCATCTATGAACCTCGCAAAGCGAACGACAAGCAAGAAGTCAGGAAGTGGGGCAAGTTCATACCCAAGTCTGAAAGCAAAGAAACTATGAATGTCAATACGTCACCTATGAAGTTCACGACGAAGGTGAGCAAGAAGCAGAGTATGAAATCCACTTTTTTTCAAGACAAGCCAAGTAGAAAGTTGACTCTAAAAGAAATGCAGGAGAAAGAGTACCCATTCCTGGATTCTGATGTGCCAGCCATTTTCGAAGAACTCCTCGAGTTAAATCTCATTGAGCTTCCGGAGATGAAGCGACCAAATGAAGCTGGGAAAACAAATGACCCAAATTACTGCAAATATCACCGACTTGTAAGCCACCCTCTGGAGAAGTGCTTTTTCTTCAAGGATAAAGTCATGGACTTGGCTTGCGAAAAGAAGATCGTGCTTGAAGATGAGAAAGCAAGCGCAAACCAAGTCTCTATCACCTTTGGCTCATTCAGTCCGGATGACTTATGTGGTTTTTAAAGAAATTAAAGATGAAGAATTACTGGAGAGCGACAAAGCTGAAGTCAATCAACCTGATGATGATGAAGGTTGGACATTGGTGACTCGTCGTAGGCACCACAAAAGGAGCCCACGAAAAGAATCAATAGAACAACCAACAAGGAAGATGATGGTAAAAAGACCAACGAAAAAGAATCCAGTTAGGCATTTGAAGAAAGCAAAAGTGGAGATGCACCATTCTCAAAAGCCACGAAATCCAGTGACCTTGGAGGAGTTTTTACCAAGTTGGTTTCGCACGAAGATTTCCCCATGAGGGCATTGATGCCTCTTGTTACCATGCTGACAAAGGGGAAGAAAAGAGTGATGACCTACCGTTGGCACCATCTTCGGAAAAGCCCATCGAGTCCACTCCTCAAGAAGTTAATGCTTGTGAGGAAAAGGTCACGTTCACAAACGACGATCTTTTGCTAGGTGAAACTCCTCATAACCGCCAATTGTACCTGGTTGGCTATATGCACGATGAAAGGGTAAATCGGATTTTGGTTGATGGAGGATCCTCAGTGAACATTTTGCCAATCCACACTATGAAAGAACTTGGTATTCCCATGAACGAACTCTCAGAAAGTCGTGTGATGATCCAAGGATTCAACCAAGGGGGGCAAAGAGCCATAGGCGCGACCAGGTCGGGAATCACTATTGAAGATATGCAATCAAGTGCATGGCTGCATGTGATCGACGCGAAGACTTCATACAATGTTTTGCTTAGGAGGCCTTAGATACATGAGAATAAAGTAGTTCCATCTACCTACCATCAATTTTTAAAATACTACGAGGGTGAAGTCGAGAAGACGGTAGTTGCTGCTGATGA